AATGACTCAAAATATAGTTTTAAGAGACTTTGAAGTGAATTATGTATTTATTTAATTATTCACACATAAAAATTGGTTCAGAAAATTAGGCTTCTTATTGAAGAGAGAGAGTTAACCCCTTCAACGTTTGTCAAAGAGTTTTGTTGAGGTTTAGATTTTATCATAAATAATTTTTTCTTATTTTTTCTCTCAAAAATATCATGTAGGGCCCGTTTGGCATGCGCTTTGTTTTTTGCGTGTTGTTTCTGGTTAAGACAGAAACAGTATTTTTGTTGTAAAAGTGTTTTGGAAAAAATTCGGAAGCACATTTGGGAACTATATTTTGCTGTGAAAATGTCAGAAACAAAAACATGCAAAACATGTTTGGTCACTCTAACTGTTACAATGTCACATTATGAAATAATAAATTTATATTATTAAATTTTATAATTTATTTACAAAAATGTCTAAAAAGTGTATTTTAATAATTCAAATATTGTCAATATTTTTTCATGTAAAAGTCTTAAATTTTTGCAATAACCTATTTTCAATTTTATTATTCTCTTTACAAGTTGTTTGCAAATCCTGCAAGAAATCTGTTTCAGTCATTATCTTCACAAATATTTATAACTAAAACTCATAAAATAAAATAAAAATTATATAAAAAGATCATAAATTAAAACAAATTTAGGCAAAAGTTTTTTTTATTTTGATAGATTAATTGATTTAGCCAAAAAAAATATTAAAACAAGAATTACAGACCTTGAATTTAAATAGATTTAGCTAAAAAAAAAAAAAAAAATTATTTCGATACACCAATTGATTTAGCCAAAAAAAAATTAAAACAAGAATTACAGACCTTGATTTCAAATAGATTTAGCCAAAAAAAAAAATTATTTCGATACACTAATTGATTTAGCCAAAAAAAAAAAATTAAAACAAGAATTACAGATCTTGATTTCAAATTGATTTAGCCAAAAAAAAAATTAAAACAAGAATTATAGACCTTGATTTCAAATAGATTTAGCCAAAAAAAAAAAAAATTATTTCGATAGATTAATTGATTTAGCCAAAAAAAAAAAAAAAAAAAATTAAACAAGAATTACAGACCTTGATTTCAAATAGAAAAAAAATTAAAACAATCTGAAATGATACGCCGATATGAGTTTTGAGAGTTGAGAGAGCGGGCCAGCGGCGGAAGCTTGCAAACGGCGAACCCGAACTGGAACAGCGGGCGATGGAAACTAAAAGATATGGGTTTTCATTTTTTGAACAATCTGAAATAATATGCCGATATGGGTTTTGATATAGGTTTGAACTTTTGATTCTTGCAGACAGACAGATAAACTGAAGTAAATGGGTTTTGAACTCTGATTCTTGTGAACTACAGTAGTTTGCAGTTGCATAGACAGAGAGATGGCAAGTTCAGAGTTGAGAACAAGAATAGAGTTGGAGGCGATTGGGGAGGCTGAGATGATTTGCGAGTTGCCCAAAATCGCCCAAAGAGAAGCTGCACCCAAAACCCTAGAAAATGACCAATTTTGCCTTTTATATGTGTTTCCTCCGCTACAGTTAAATGAACAATTTGTTTCCTCCGCCACAGTGTAATATAGCCCAAACAGTACAGAAACAACCAAAAACACCAAAATGGTGTTTCATATTTTGGGCCCATTTTTGAAATTATTTTGCAACTGTTTAAAACACAACAAGCCCAGCCAAACATATTTTGGGCTTGAAAGGGGTTCCTGTAGCAAGCCTAAAACAAAACAAAACACTAAACAAAATTCTCTGGACGAATTAAATATACAAAGTTAAGTTATCATATCATCCGCCAAAAAATTGGCATATCATGTGTCATGTAATTTAAGTTATTTTTGTAATACAACTATTTGTGATGTTTAATATTTTCTTTATTGAGTCAGAATACTGACATCGCGCAGGAGATTTGCTACAAGTGACAGGATTCCATAATCGAGCCCCACAATTCCGATTCATCTGTAGAAGAAATGTGGTTCTAAGCATCGACATTGATAAAACCAATGAAGAAGACCTGCACAAGGGCATCACCAAGGCAAAGGAACTGCTACAACCCTGCAATGCTCTACTTGTGGAATACACTAGCTATGCCGAAATATCATCTCTACCGGGACACTATGTTCTTTTTTTTGAGATCATACATTGCCCGACGTCGGTGGTAGATTCATCAGTCACCCGGCCACTTGATCTTGATGCAAGATTGCTTCAAGAGTGTTGTATTGCTGTGGAAGAACAACTGGATTACATTTACAGGGGATGTCGCACTAACGACAAGTGTATAGGACGAGATACGAGTTGTGAAGCCAGGCACATTTGAAGCATTGATGGGCATTTCCATCAAACAAGGAGGATCAATCAGTCAGTATAAAACTCCAATGTGCATCAACTAATGCTGCTCTGAAACTGCTTAACTCTAATGTGAAGGCCTCTTTCTTTAGTCCTAGGGATCCTACGGGGAACCCTTGACTGCAGCATGTTCGGTTATTCTTAAGATGCTAGCTTTTGTATTAAGATTTTCATTTTTGTTAGTTCTAAGTTTTACCAGCTACAACTTTCAGTTTGGCGTAGATTTAGTAGAGATCAATTACTTTAAATGGGTAAGTATAATTTTTGTCCATTAATCAATGTTTATTTACCAAAGGCAATGATATCTCTTCTTCCTTTCAAAATGAATCATAAATTTGAGTTTTCAAAGGAATAAAGTAAATGTAATGTGTGTATCTTGTCAATTAATGAAAAATAAAATATAGTGTTTATTCTGCCAAATAACCTATGAAAAGGGTACAAATTTAATATTTTGTTATTTCTTATATCCTCTTCCCCGTATATATAATGTTATATCATGAAAAGCCGTATCGGCCGGTTCATAACATTTCTTTTAAGGCCTAATACCGTTAAACACCTTTATGAACCGACCAGTTTGTACTGATATTCGTTCGAGTCCGTTACATCATGACCGCAACCGATACCGCGACTGCGAACCATGTCTTATAGACTTATCAAGTAAAGTTGATCAGGTATTTTCTGTGCAATGATTGATTAATCATGGAATAATATTGTTTAAATTCTGAAAATTTGATATTATTGGCAAATAAGAATCCACGACCATGGTTCGCAGTCACGGTTTAATCGCGATTGCAGTGTAACGAATTTCGACGGACGAATATCGATATAAACCGGTTACTGATTTATAGAAGTGTGTAATGATTTCAAACCCTTCAAAATGATTACAAACCGATTGATACGGTGAACCATGACCATGACTCATAAAAAAAGAAGGAGACGAACCCTAAAAACCCACAAACCCATAAAGCGGTGAGACATTTTCCCCACGGAAAACCACTTCGATTCTTTCAGTCTCGATCATTCACACATTTTCCAGAAAAGAAATGTCTGAAGTCTGGTTTGTACTGCATGATTACTCATGAAGTCATAAGGAGACGGAGGATGAAGCCTAAAAAGCAACATAAAGTGGTGATATGTTTTCTCCATGGAAAACCACTTTGATTCTTTTGATCTCATTCACACCTACTCAGGATACCATAGTTATGGATAAGCAAGCGTTGACAATCACCTCAGAGGCTGGGACCAGTTTGTTGTTAACAAGTTCCTCAGTATGGCAAACCTGTCCACTCACTTCTCGACTGTAAGTTGAGGCTGACATAAACCCAATTGGTAAATTAAGTGCATTAAAACTATTCTGATGGTTTACCATTTTCAATGTGCAAAATATTATCTAACAAACTTGTAATAAATCATAAAAATCAAAGATGCCACCTCACAATTAATGTCTGAAATTGAGGAGGATTTATTTTGATACAATGAATATTTTCGTTCTGTCTAATTATATAGGAGATTACGCCATGCAGGCAATCCATGAACACTAAGGAGTATGGGTATCGTATTCATGACATGAATAGAGTACACTTCTAGATGATGTAAAAATTGTAGAGTATTATAGAGAGAGTTGGAGATTTAGAATATGGAAGAGATTGTAGATTCTTGTAAAAAAGTAAAACATCCTAAAATAATAATAAAAAATTTGTAAAACGTAAATTATTAAGATATTTACGTAGAAGTTTTTAGATGGTGAAAAAAAGACCTATAAATAGGTGAGTGGTGTTATTTATAAGGAACAAGTTTCAGAACAGAGGCACTTTGCAACAACTTGAGTAGTAATAGTCTAATAGAGGTGTCACAAATCAATACATATTTTCGAACTTCTCGATCCGGCCTAACCAAATCATGCTCTACTCGAACTTGGTTCGATCTAACCAAATCATGCTATACTCGAACTTGATCCGGTCTAACCAAATCATGTTTGTCTACGAGTTGACTGAAATATATTGGGCTTGTATTATTTTAATTAATTTTAAGAGGAATGGTGTTTATGCTTAGTAATTTAAAATCCAAACTTATTTATTTATTGGTATATATAATCAAAATTTTAAAGCTCAGAGCTCAAAACGGGTAATCCATTCTTCCAACGGATAATATAGTGTCCCAGCACAGATGATTTATTGAGCATTGCAGCTTTCAAGCAGTTCCTTGGCCTATGATTCATAGAGCATGTGCAGCTTTCAAGCAGTTCCTTGGCCTATGATTTATAGAGCATTTGCAGCTTTCAAGCAGTTCCTTGGCCTTTGTGATGCCCTTATGCAGGTGTTCTTCATTTGAAAACTTGATGCTCCCCCTTTGTGATGCCCTTATGCAGGTGTTTTCGCTGGTTTTATTCTCGTCGAGGAGAAGAAACCTTATTACGTAGAGAGAACAAGCTCAATGGGTTTGTCAGGCATTTAAACAATTAGGTCAATCCAGTCAGTCTTACCATAAATTGTATCAATCAAGTTTATTGACCTAAAAATATATAGTCGCTAATTAAAGTTCAGCTCACCCACGAAAAGATGATTTTGATGATTTTTAATTTTACACATGTAAAATTTTTCACCGAAGTGAAATAAAGCTACTGAATCAATCCATCAGCATAAGTAAAAAAATTACTTCAAGTACCTCAATTTCACTCGAAGTTTATTTTAATCATTTATCTGCAGTGCTAAAGACGTTCATAACTTTATGTAATCCTTATAGAAGTAGAGGAGAAGCATATGCAGTGGACATATAAAAATGCGTTCCTACAAATTTGTATCTTGAAAAGTCGCAAGATCTCATTGTGAAGTGAAAAATTAACAAGGGAGTTTACAATTCAATCACACGTTTGGCACCATCCAAGGTATTCTTCAGCAGCATTGCAACAGTCATTGGGCCCACACCTCCTGGAACCGGAGTTATCCAACCAGCTACCTTACATGCTTCTCGAAAGTCTACATCTCCAACAAGTCGATAACCTGACTTTCTACTTGGATCATCTATAGCGTTTGTCCCAACATCAATAACTGCAGCACCAGGTTTTATCCAGCTGCCCTTAATCTGAAAATGATGTAGATAAAATTTGTAAATATCCTTCGTATACAAGCTTATTTCTCTAAAATAATGCCACCACAAACATTGAATACTCAAGTGTATATAGTTTTTAACTATGAAGTAATGTTCTCTTAATACATGTAATAAGGATTAAGCATCTTCTAGCTGGAAATAAACTAAATAGTTGATATTTTCATCAAACATATGAAGAATATTGCAGTGACTAAATCTGAATTGCACATGACTGAGATAACGTCTATTTTAAACTAAAAAACCAAATCTGTTTACCATCATTGCTTGTCCTGCTGCAGCAATTATAACGTCTGCTTCACGAATGACATTCTCGGGATTACAAGTATGTGAGTGAACAACTGTAACTGTGGCATCTGCCTTTAGAAGTAGCAGTGAAACTGGCAATCCAACTATGTTACTTCGACCCACCACGACTGCCTTCTTTCCCCTTACGCTAATGCCACTTCGTGATAGAAGTTCAAGACAGCCCTGTTGACAGAATACTATCTTATAAGACCAAAAGTTCTCTAGTTAACAAACAGGAGATACTCTCACTGAGACCCAAATCTATGAACAATAGGGTTACTATTTACGCAACTAATTGAAGAAGCATAGATTTAGAACAAGAATGTCCATATATTATTTCAAGACTGGATATATTGCCTTGGGGGTGCAAGGAAGGAACAGAGGTTCTCTGCCTTTCATGGCCAGCTTGCCAATGTTCAGAGGATGAAAGCCATCTACGTCTTTCTCGAGACTGATTTCGGTCAAGACTTTCTCTTCGTTTATATGTTTTGGCAATGGAAGCTGAACTAATATACCTGCATCATCAACACAAACCAGGTCCTCACTGATTATTTAAACATGTGCTGATTTCAAGAACCAATGAACCACGCATTTTAATGTCTAGATGGCCGAAACTTGTTCTTTAGGATACCAGAAGAAAGTTTAACATGCAGTAGTTTTCATCAAATCTCACCAAATCTCACTGGATGCTAGAACAATCGTAAGGAAAAGAAGATTGCCTTCAAACATTTATATAAGATCAAACAAGATATCTTATGAAATCATTTTGTCACTATATTTTTTGAAATGTTGGAAACGGTATTTACTTTCTCGTTATTACCAAAAATAAAAAACGTTACGGAAACGTATAATTCGAAAATATTGCACCTAACAAAGGACTTCTCCAAGTTTTAACATAGATTTTTCATATTCTTCAATAATACCATGTAAAATTTTACAGGTATCATATTCATATCTATATCCAATGAAGGTTTGTTCTCCAAATATGTTTCACTTGTTGCTGCTGGAACCAGGAAGTGGGTCTCAAATGAACCAAACTGTCCTCTCTCAAAACCATTTTCAGGGTATTTTGGCTCCAAATGATAAGATTGGTTTTTTGCCAACAAATGCACTAAATAAAAGTAGGTAGGAATATTAACCAGAAAAATATATAAACAGGAAGTCATTTATTGAAATCTTTTTATAGGAAAAAAAAAAAAAAAAAAAAATTAGCAAAAGAAATGCAAGTGGAATTCGGAAATATTTTAACAGAATAACAACAATCATGCGAAAGCAATATAGAGAATATCATATTGACTTATTATGTATTAATAACCAACCGTGTACATCAGGATTTGCATTTAACTCATGAACCTTGCTAATCAACTCAGCTTCAAGTACTTGCTCTGGGAGGTCTATGTCAAAGGACTTAATCCCAACTTCAGCACATGCCTTTCTCTTCATACCCACATAGCTTTGAGAATCCTTTCTATTGCCCACAATGACTACAGCCAGTCCTGGGACCTAAGATTAGAAAATATATCATACTTCTGACTCAATGATATATGGTAAAAAATAAATAAATAATAATAATATTATATCAAGAACTTGTTATAAGACACATAATATTATACTAGTATCAAGAATCTGTTCTAAGACCGATCGAAAACTTCAAAGGTTAATCCTAAATGCATGCTTTGTATTATAATTTTCTAAATCATACAACTATAACTAGCAACTAAGCAATCCTAGAAAATTGATAACAATATTCAGATATTTTTTCTTCTAAAGGACGATGCCCATGAACATTAAAAAATGTTCAATGAGAGTTTCATTAAATATTTGGTGATAAATCAATAGACCTCTATGAAAGGGGTTTAGTTTTTTAAGAATCCAACATAAAGGACAAGGAAGGTGCTTGTTCTTAATGTAAGCCAATTTCACAGCATATACAAATGACAACTTAAATATCAGTAACGATGAACACAGTTTTTGAATGTATGTCACTTTTCATGCTAGAATCAAGAGGACTAATTTCTTGATAATGGATGACAACAATAGTTAAGGGTAGAAAATCACGTGGTAAGTGAATATCAAGAAATTCATACTGAGAAGGCAATATTCTCATTCAGGCATGCCTACAAATTGAAGCAGGAGGTGTCAACTGCTTGATTTTTCCATCTAAAAAAAATTCCAGGCTATTTTTTTTCCCAAAACAAAAGAGTAAATTCTACAGCTACAGGATTTAGAAAGTAAATATTGCGTTTAAAAGATGAAAGATTTCCAAATACGTCGATGAAGTTCTTATAGAATACCATCGATGCTATAATTCGCCTTTTCCAGCAAAATAAAGGGAATCTTAAAATGATTATTTACTACAAACTAACTTAAAGCTTGCAAACCCTAGAGATAGAGAGAGAGAAAGAGTGACCTTGCCGTATTTCTGGGACAGATGACGAACTTCGGAGGCGATTTCAGATCGAATTGTCTGTGCGACTGCTTTGCCGTCGATTACGGTGGCCTGGTGATCCGAAGGCGACGCCATTGTCGAATAACTCTCTTTCAATTTACTCCAATAACTATAAAATATGAGAGAGACTAAACTGTCTCACCGTAATTCACATGAAATGAAATCGTTGTGGATGAAGATGGAGGTTTTGGAGATGAGAGGGGACCTAACCCATTGATATTTATATATATATATATTTCCTTTTTTTCTTTTTCTTTTTCTTTTTCTTTTTTTCTTTTCTTTTCTTTTTTTTTTTTTTTAACACAAACTTGGACATGCAGTGACTTGTAAAAAATAATAAAAAATAATATTAAAACTTCTCAAAGTGAGAGATTTCAACCGGAACTTAATTAGAATCACACTTCGGTTGAGGTGCTAGTAACCCAGCTCAACCCAAACTCGAATTTTATTCCTATTATTTATATTTTAAAAAAATTAAATGCATTATATATAATATTCAAATTATAATCACCTTTTTATTTTCAACCTTCTTTGTTAAATATTAATTTATTATATATTAACATTTAGGAGAATTAATTTTTTAAGAATTTATTTATAATTTATTAAAAATTTGTAATAAGTTTTTAAAACTTTTTTTTTTGTTTAAGAAGAATTTAATCATAAATTAATTCAATATCACATTAAATTTTTATTGTGAATATTGGTCATATGGGTAACTCGAATTAACCAACCTGATTTTCTAATTCAAAATCTTAGCTCTGGTTGTAAACTCGAGTTTAAAAATAAGAGAGTGGGTTGAATTGTTAGAGTTAAAGGAAAAGTTTAGAAGTGGGCTCTAGTTAAATATTTCATATGTGGATCCGTTTCCCCATTTTGGAGGCCCATTTATGCTTGCTCATAGCCCATTGGGGCCATTTCACATCCTTTTTCTTTCTTCCTTTTTTATTGTTTTTTTTTTTTTCCTTCTTTTTTAATTTTTTTTTTACCTACAGTATATAATAATATTGTTCTGAAAATTTACAACCCACTTGACCTTCCGAAAGAACTGAAACATATCTACAAATCATAAATTATTTCACAAAGATATCCATTGCCCATAGGATACTTGTCAATACACTCTGCAATGGATGAATGGATTAAGAAAAAATATCTGGATTGCACAAAAATTCCAGTCTGGGCCAGACAACTGTTTCAGGTAAATCTTAAATGAATAGAAAAGGGCTTGTATGAATCATGCTACACAAAATCATAAAGCTCCAAGGTTTGATTCTAAAGAAGAAGAAAAGAAAAAGAAAAAAATGAAGTTAACCTCCAGTTACCAATCAGAATATAAGTACGAAACCTGGGCGGTAGAGTCTCCACTGCAGTCAAGTCTTGTGGCTACACACTAGTTGCCCTAACTTACAAAAATGATATACCATCCACCTCCAGGAACAGAGATGCTTTTCCTGCTGTTAAAAGGAATCACGACTTCCTATCAAACAAACACCCCCTAACCAGATATTTTAATCAATTTAACAGCCTCTTGAATTTTTATTTTCTTCAAGGCACGCAACAGAACAGCCTTCTGAATTCAAATTCTACTTCCAAGTCATGTCAAATATACATCATGCATTGAATAAAGCACAGTCGAACAATGTGATGCACTTGCACCTTATCTATTAAATATTTAAGGTAGTTATAACGGCCCTAGACTATTACTATCGTAAAGCTTTCCTGCATACAACTACACCAACAAGAACTGATATAAAAGCCAGAAAGGCTCCCTGTCTGGAAAGCCCAAATTCAGTCCAAGTCAAGGGCTTCTTGACCTCGGCTAATACTTTCTGAAAGTTGACATTCAAGTCCTCCAGGGATCCAGTGTTATCAATCACCAAGTCTGCTTTACTCCTTTTAAAATCCAGAGGCATTTGAGCATTTATCCTATTATTGGCCTCTTCTGCTGAAGATCCATCTCTTGCCATGAGTCGCTGAAGTTCTGTTTCAGGATCAACCCATACAACAATAATGGGATTAGTCCACTTGTCCATCTTGGCCTCAAACAGCAAAGGGACATCAAGAATGATAATCTTATAGCCCTTCATCCATAGCTTCAGTATTTCAAAAAAGATACCAGATGATATATAAGGTGCCAGCAACCTACAAGGATATAATAGCCAAAATTCAAAACCAAAATTCACAATATGATATGCACGGAGGAGGAATTCAATGTAATTTCTCGAACAATCTAGAACCAAGAAGACTACTTTAAAAATATTTGACAGTGTACATAAGATAAATTGCCATACTTACCTCAAAAATAAAAGATTTCATACTTTTTAAACTATCTGGAGACATAACTCCTGTTAGAAATTCAAGTTATGGGTTTCAAAGGAAGAATTGCTTCAAGTGGCCACCTAAATTGTCTAAATAAGCAGTTGGGGTGATCATGAACTAAAATTACTGGATGACTTATTTGAGGGTGCATGTTTAAAGAAGGCTGGTCCTTCTCAGAGGTACAGTTTGGTGTCGCCAGTTCTAAGCACTACTGCTCAGTCAGTGGGCAGTTTAATCAATCAATTCACTGGCAGGTTGATTCATAAAATCAATCCCACAAATCACTCCAATCATATTTTATCATAAACTAAAATCACTCCCACAATATTCTCAGAGCAATATCATGTGGAGTAATTTAAGGTTCCTATAATAATATTCTCCAACACTCACAATTCTACAAATCCAACCACTACACATTTGAAGCCATATATAAGACTTGGAAATTTTGCGTGCGTGTGTGAGTGAGACTGTGAGAGTGAGAGTGAGAGTGAGAGACTTCAACAAAAACACAGATAATCTAGAGAGAGGAGAGAGAGTCTGACTTCAATGAAAAACTCAGGAAGAAATAACAGGATAACCTCCCAAAACCTCAAAATCTCAAATGGGAATAAGTAGAGATGAACAAATTAATCATGATCCCCGCGTCCCATAATCTCAAGCAGTTCAAATGTGGGGAAAATGAGCTTGGAGAGAGGTAGCTTATTTTATTGACAATTGCAAATGAGAGAAAGAGACAGGAGATGGTTGCAGGAAGACCAAATGAAGAAGTACAAAAGGGACCCCATTCTTTTACCTGTAAACTGGAAAGCAATATCAGCAGTAATTCAATCAAAACCATGGTTGTCAAAATCCCGATTCTGAGTCGTAGAATTGCATGATTCTACGATTCAAAATCCAAAATCGATCCAAATCTTAACAAAATCGTTCAATTGGTAGAATCGGGGACAGAATCGGTAGAATCGGGGGTAGAATCATACAATTCTACACGATACCGATTCTACAAAATTGGGTGTTTGGGCGGTCTTTTATAGTATTGGTTGTTTGGACCTTTATACTATTGGTTGCTTGGGCAAGCCTGCAAAAAAAGTCTACTAAAAATGAAAAGTTATATATTTATTCTATAAATTATAAAATATAAAAATCTCACTACGAGTTACAAAGCCCTAATTTGTTATTACAGAAACCACAGAGTCACAGAGGAGGCGGCAGAGGCTCAGAGAGAGAAGATCGGATCCATAGAGTCACAGACAGCTTTGGCCAGGCGTGTTCGTTTTTTTTTTTCCTTTCCTTGATCAAGTGTTTATTATTAGAGAAATCCCTAATTTTTTACTACAGAGACCCCCTTTTGTTAAGATTAGGTATGATGTAAAATCTATATCTTAATTTTCTATTTTTAGCTTGTAATTAATTAAGTTTATATTCCTTTTATGCACATCATATATTCATCATGTGATAATTACCTAATAAAAAACTACAATAAAAAAATATATATAGTACTCATGTATTGGTAATTTGGTATGTATGTGTGTCACACTGTTTGCATATATTATTAGTATATCACAAATATTTAAATAAAAAATATATAAAAATGGAAGTCTACAAGTTAAAATTGTTTCTTAAAATGATATGACCGAACTGTGAGATCACTGAGATGGCTTTCTCTGTTGCTGACAATGGATGATAAATACTATATTTTAAACGTTTTAACAAGACAATAAAAAATTAGTTTATTTATATTCGGACTTTGGAATATTCTCTTTTATTTATATTCGGAATTTGGAATATTGTTAGGATTTGAGATTTGTGAACTCATAGATATGTAATATTATGTGTTTTGGCCTTATTTTGGTTATATTTTACAAATCTTATTGTTTAAGAAGTTAGTTTCAATTGTTTTTTCACAATTTGGTAAAATCTTACGATTCACGATTCGATTCTACGATTCCGATTTTACGGAACCCAAAACGATTCTACATAGAATCCCGATTTTAACAACCTTGATCGAAACAGGGTTCAAGATTTGCAGGAGCCCAAACACAGGTAAAGGGTAAAACACCCACTAAAACCAGGGTTCAAAATTAGCAGTTGTGTCAAATCAGGAACTCAAAGACATGGTTTTAATTACAAAGATAATGGGAGTACAATTTTAATTGTGCTTTACTACCATTAACCATACACGGTGTTTTAAGAACGTCAAAAGGGCATTTCTGGCCCAACCTGATAATGACCAAACATTCCCCAAACATGATTCGTGTCTCCCATAACCATACCCGAACCGAATCATATGTCCAGCCCCATCGTAAAAGGAGAGGGATGTTGAGAACTTGAGCTACCCAATCAACCAAGTAAAACAGGTAAGTATACTTAAATCCAACATGCACAAATGTGTATCTATAACATGTAACAAAAAAAATGTTCATGTCATCAATGGAATCTTCAACTCAAATGCTACAGAAAGCTCCTCAACAGCCCATCTCTTTCTAGCAGGTGGAAGCATCTTGGTCTTACCTAGATTAACATTTATGAATGGGTTGCAAATGGCATAGAAGAACGAGTGAAGCAGTTGCAGTGTGACAAAGAGAGAGCAGGGCAGCTCAATGATTATTAAGCAGAGTATCACAAAAATTTTATCACGCACTTTTGGTTGATTAATAATCTAAAAAAGGCTTATATTAAGCTACAATATTAAATACGAACCACCTTTTATGGATAAAAATGGCTTCATTTTCTTCTCAACAGCCTCAAATGATTGGATCCTCCTCGAGGATTGACTGACGAAATTAGTATAGAAAAATAGGGTCATCTCCACAAATGATGGTACGGAATCTATATTACGCAACTTAGAACGCAGGTACGAGAACCAACACAGGATAGGCGAGTAAGGGCCTTTTATATAACAAAATTTTTAGAAGTTACCAGATGACTAAAAGAACAGCAAAGGCACCATCCTTCATCCAAATGCCATGAAATGTGTAGGGGCAAATAATTGCATCACCCATTGAACACCAAAATTCACACTACCTGCTTCGTACCTATTAAGAAGTTGGCGCTTTGCAGGATCTGAAAATACAATTTGTCCCAGCTTTGGCCTGTCAACTTCTCCGTTGTCTTGTAAGATGTCCCGACCAAATGCTGCCACCACCTTTTTCCAACCTCCAGTGCCTTCCTTCAAAACATCCTGCAACAAAGCCGATATAATAAATTCACATATTGCAAAGCCAAGAAGTTTCTTCTCTACCAATGTCCTTCCTATTAGGAAGGGTTGTCGATCAACAGTATTGTGATCATACTCATTCCAAACACCAAATTCCTATTTACGCAAGACTTGCATTCACGTGGACTCTCAACAATTCTTGATGGGTGATTGGCAAAGCCATTATTCTGATAAAATTTCAGAATAGTTGGGTCAATGTGAACTTGTTATATAAATAGAATGAATTGTTGTTATATAAATAGAACGAATAATATTTAAATTTCTTGTAATTTGGCTAATTTTCTTTTTTTGTCATTATCAAAATTACAGAATGCATAAATCACATCTGCAACTGAAATTACAGTAATCAAACTACACACACAAGTATCAAGAAAGAGGATGTGATCACTCATTTTTCTTTACAGATGAAATTTCAATACATTAATCTCTTGCTATTCGCACAATAATCGTACTAAATTATTGAATTATGTAAATCTTGCCCATAACCATCTTAAACCCTGATTTTCATCGTGCTCATCGTTTCAGTTCTGTATATCTTAGTTTAGGGTTCTTCGTAAACCAATCAATCAAGAATAGATACAAGTAGGAATATATATGTAGAGAGAGAGGGAGTTGAACAGTTGAATATAAGAGGGCGGGAGGCTTACGCGAGCAACGAGGTCGGCGTCGACGACGGGGAAGCCGTGAGCTTTGAAAAGATTGGAGACCGTACTCTTTCCCGATGCGATACCACCCGTCAGTCCTACTATCCTCATTGCCCCTTTCTTTCTTTCTTTCTTTCTTTCTTTCGTTGTAATACCGTAATGTATATTTTATACCCACAGATTTTTATTCCGGCGGAGGACTCGCCTTTTCTAGTCTCTCTGCCCCTCTGATCTATGACTAATCAATCAATCAAGAATGACCCGTAACCTCAACCGGTGATTAATAGGGGATAGGCTATAGGGTGGGTCATGTTATTTAGCCCATGTTGCTGGGTGAAACGGGCTTTTAGTGTGTACTAACCATGCAATGTGGATAAATAAGGCTGCCTGCCGAAAAAACAAAAAAAGCAGGTTAATTTGTAAATTTTATCCTAAATTCAAGGATATACATAGTCAGTATTTCATTCCAATCATTCCCTTATTTAATATGAGATTTAGAGTGGAAATGACATGAGATTTAGAGTGGAAATGATATTCTAAAGGGAATAAAATTCCATTCCACATTTAAACCAATGAAATGAAAATTCATTTAAAAGAATGAGATTTGTGGCTACAGCCACTTCCGCCATTGCCTTCTACCGTCGACTCCGTCATTGTCGTTGCAACACCTCCACCTCCACCTCCACCTCCACCTCCACCATTGTCAGGGGCGGAGCCAAGATTTTAATTCAGAGGGGGTACAATATATTTGTTAAAAAAAAAAAAAAATTTAATAAATAAATATGACAATATAAATTTTTTTTTTTAAATTAAAAAAGCAAATAAGAAAAATATAGTTATAAAATAATATGCTAAATAAATACCGTAAAAAAAAAATATAGTTACAAATATAAGAATCAAAATATTAATTAATAATATTTTAATTAAATACAATCATAAATGTCATCGATAAAAAGAAATAAGTTTAAAAATATAGAAAAATACATAATTATACATAAGCGAAAAAATAATTTTTTTGAAAAAGGAAACAAAAATTAGAAAATGAAAAATATATTGTATATTTGAAGAAGGAATATATGTAATTTTTTTTTTTTCAAAAGGGAATTAAAAGAATTTGAAAACTTAAGGGGGACACTATTTAAAATTACTATGTAAGTATATATATATATATATGCCAAAAATATGTATCTATGTATAGTAAGTTGGAACAAAGTGAGGAGGGGGGGCACGTGCCCCCTCTGGGCCTTAATTGGCTCCACCCCTGACCATTGTCATCGTCGTTGCCACCACCACCACCTCTACCTCCTACCGCTGCCTCGCCGTCCACCGTCGTCACCACCAACCTCTATCTCCATCGCCACTACCACAACCTTTCGGCACTTCCACTTCCACTGTCGTTGTCTTTTATAACCATCACTTAGAATGGTGATTATCATTTTATTCATACATCATTTCATATTTGTAACTAAATAATAAAATGAGAATGACATATTATTACTTTCATTCCAATCCCGACTTCATTCATGTGTACCAAACTAGACCTGAGTTAAACAGAAGGAATTTACATTTTTCAAATAGAGTAGATAAGGACATATTGTTAAACTAAAGACTGAAATATTCAAATACCTTATAAAAAATATTAAGCAACATTAATGTTAGTTTTAAGGATATATTTGTATTATTATTATTATTATTATTATTTTCACTTTACTCTAAATACAAATAATAATGTAGACGGGAAGATCAAAACGAGACATTTAAATTAATTTTACATGTTTAAACGAGATATTCCATGTATATTCTTTAAAAAATTAGATGTTCAATCTAACATTTTAATTCAAATTTATTCTTTTGATTTCTCCATAAAAGTTTAAATATCAGACATGTTAGAGAATGCCCAATCTCTACCATAAAAAAATTAATGTAATGTAGTGATCTATGTTAAGCTTTAGAAGATCAGTGTTGAATGGTGAAGGAAGGAAAGCTAATTGTTAGTACTAAATAAAGAGATCATGGAGAATAAAATTAGTATATTCGTTAGGTTGAGAGGTATTTTACCAATAGAAGTTCACTTTTATACTAAAATATAATTTTATATTAGAATGAGATCTCCTCCGGCTAGTTAAAATCAATTTACCCTAATTGATGAGCTATCCTTTAAATCATTACAACATGGAAAAGAGTAAATATGATTCATATTAACTAAGGAAAAAATGAAAAAGAAAAAAAAAAAAGGTATATCACTCATATTAAAATAATTTTAGTATTTACTGTAAAAATAATAATAATAATAATAATAATAATAATAATAATAATAATACTATTAATAATAATAATAATCAGTTCAAAATATCTTATATTAAATTTATATGAGTCAGAAGAAAATGACCATTTTGATTTGATCAAATTAAAAGAAGCATTAACCTAAACAGTCACTCACTGCCCACCAATGAGACCACCATTGCCAAACATCAACCACACAACAAACAGAATTATCCATCTCTTAGACAATTGCACTTCCCCAGCTCACATCCACCAAATCCAAGCTCAACTCATCCTCCAAACCCTCCACTCAGACACCACCATTGCCCACCACTTCATCACTGCCTGTCAATCTTTAGGTCTTTTAGACTCTGCCCATCTCTTTTACACCCAACTCCAAAGACCTCATGTATTCATTTGCAACAACCTTATCAGAGCTCTCTCTCACAAACACTTCCCTCTCAAATCTATATCTATATACAATCACATGAATAGGAACTCCATTCTTCCAAATAACTACACTTTTCCTTTCATTCTCAAGTCTTTATCTGATCTTCGCGATCTTAAACAAGGGCAATGCATTCATACCCAGATCATAAAACTGGGTCATTTTAATGATATTTATGTCCAGAATTCACTATTGAATGTGTATGCCGCAGGTGGCAATATGGACTTGTGTCGACAAGTGTTTGATGAAATGCCTCAAAGAGATGTTGTGTCGTGGACTGTTATGATTACGGGCTACCGCGAAGCTAGGAAGTTTGATGATGCATTGATTGCTTTTATGCAGATGCAATATGCGGGTGTAGTGCCTAATCAAGTGACAATGGTCAATGCATTATCCGCGTGCTCCAGTGTTGGGGCCATTGACATGGGTCTCTGGATACATGACTTCATAAGGAGGAGTGGATGGGAAATGGATGTGATCTTGGGAACTTCTTTGATAGATATGTATGGAAAATTTGGGAGAACTAAAGAGGGGTATGGTGTTTTCCTTAGCATGAAGAAAAAGAATGTCTTTACGTGGAATGCCCTGCTTAAAGGGCTAGCTTTGGCTGAAAGTGGGGAGGAGGCGCTTCAGTGGTTTTTAAGAATGGAGCAAGAAGGAATTGAGCCAAATGAATTCACTTTGATCAATGTACTTTGTGCTTGCAGCTACTCAGGCATGGTACAAACGGGGAGACAAATTTTTTGTTCTCTGATTGAAGGGAAGTATGGATTTTCACCAGGAGTCAAACACTACACTTGTATGATTGACCTCTTGGCACGAGCAGGGTGTCTCGAGGACGCTTTCAAATGCATAAAGGAAATTCCTTTTGAACCTACAACAGCTATGTGGGGAGCATTGTTAGCTGGTTGTAGAGCTCACGGGGACTTAGAATTGAGTGAATTTGCAGCTTGGAAACTCATACAGTTGGCCCCAGAAAATAGTGGTTACTATGTTTTGCTGTCTAATCTGTATGCAGAGATGGAAAGGTGGAAGGATGTGGAAAAAGTTAGGGGATTGATGAAAGAGAGGGGACTTAAGAAGGACTTGGGGTGCAGTTCAGTAGAACGTGGACCCCAGGACATTTCTATGAGTTATTAGTACAGTAAGTCCCCTTGTATTAGCACATAAAGAAAGAAAAACGACATTTGCTCAATACAGGTACCTGATTTGTTCAATGGGCATAACAAACTCAGTGAAGAGTATGAAGGCCTCATTGATTGTACCATGGGAGCGAATTTCAATTTTGAACCCTTTGGTTGATGTGTCTTTTCTTTGATCATTGAGCACAAGTATTGCATCGAGAATGATCTTATCATTCGAATCAACATGCAAGGCCTTATATCAATGGCTGCCAAGCTGTCCTTTTCACTGCCTGAAGGAGAGAAACTGAAGGGTCCATTGTAAATTAAGGGCATTGTGTGTTGCACGTTGTTGGGCTGTTCTATTTCAACATTCGTCAAGTATCAGCATATCGAGCATCTTTATAGGTAAAAGAAATTCCTCGTCAAAAATGATTTTTACATTTGACTGTGTGCAAAATAACTAGTTAATTAATTTCTTTAAAATATTCCTTGTTTGATTGAACTTCAATATCAGTTCAAGACATCTAAATTTACTGGTTTTATTACATACCCCTCTTTTTACCCTTTTTCGATTATGAGGTGGGACATTAAGGAATTGCTATTAGAGTTATATGACATAACGATGCAGTAGAATGTCTTGACAGAATTTGTGACTATTAATAAACTTTCAACAATATTAAAAAATTATAAATATACTTCTGAGTTAAAATGTTTGTTGATTTTGGGACCTCTCTCTAAATGTTTTGTCCTTGCTTGGCAGTTTAATTCTCTCTCCAGCGCAAGGTATGAAGGTTGCCAGAGGAATTGCATGTGAGGCCTGAAAACTACGAGTCTAAAAGGTGAAACCATCACCTCCTTATCTCGAATTCTATTGGTTTGTTTGCAACAAGTCTATTATCTAGTGATGAAGTTTTATTTTTGTGCAATAGTCGAGAAATAATATTAACAAATTGGTGGATAAATGTTTTCTTTTTTTCCCTGCGAGAAGCATCTGACCTTTCAGAAATGATTTTCTTCACCAGCTCTTCCACTAATTTTTTTAGTTGTGATAGATTTAGCGTTTTAGTTGAAATATAAGGAATAAGCACTCTGGAGTCTCTAGATGATATCAAATGAGTCTGTTGACAGAACAGATTTTTTTTTGGTATGTCCACCACCATCCTTAACCTTCAGTTAACAAATTGTTTTATGGATATTACACTAACTTCATGCATTTAGTTTAGTGACTTTTAACTTGTTTACTTGTATTCATGTATGATATCTGGAAATCTGTGAGACATCTTGGACCTCCAATCTCCATACCAGGGTTCACATTTCTCCTCATGTCACACCTTCTCCATTTGAACTAAAATAATACTAATATCACCTTACTCTAGACAGCACCAACTAGGGATTAGACTCCAAATCTAAATTTCCTGAAACCATTTAGTTGGGAACTTGGGATTATATTTCACATTATAACTTCGTGCTTGGTATATGAGGACAGGTACCAAAAATAAATGGGGGTATTACCCACTATCTCTAGTTCCAGATCATATTTGCTTATTGGTGGCCACACAGTATTCTTTTCTTCTTTTGGTAAATCATATGATAAATAATGTGTTAAATGTAGGAAAGCAACCCATGCACATTGAGCTAAGACATGCACCAATTATTTTTTCATTTTTGTTCGCCGTCTTGTCAATTTACAGAACTATTAGTCACAGTAAAGTACTGAACATGACACTGTAACCCAGATTCAGAAGGCAAGGTGGCCAGTAGGCCTAACACTCCATTGCTCAACTTGAGCCCAGTTGTCCTAGACCTTAGCTTTCTCGACCATATCCACCACCTTTGACCAAGCTGGTCGTGACATAATGTCGTTACACCACGCGCTGACGTGCACCCGTTTGTCAAAAAGCCGTCTCATTGGTGTTGCCATCAGGTAGTACAAGTTTGGGAGATGAGTAAGATCGGCGGAGGTAAATTTATCACCTCCCAAGTACTTGGTACGGGTGAGCCTCTCTTCATACACATCCAACACTCTAGTCAGCTTAGCTTCCTCCTCTGCAACTGCAGCTTCATTTGTTGGCAAGCCATTTTTTGGCTTCTCAATGAGTTCGCTGATCAGCTTCGAAGCTGGAGGATCGAATTGGTGATCCTCAACGTCAATCCATGTTGCCACTATCCCTTGCATCTTTGGCGCCATGTATATTTGTTCTTTCCCAGAATTTGGATAAATGTGTGATATGCACCTCATGATGGCCCTTGATTCTATCATTGGAAGTATATTAGATTGTGATCATGACATATGATTTACAAATGTAAACTGTTTTGAAGCTTGATTTCAATATACAATGCATATGATATACATACATATATGCATACATACAAACATTTTATATATGTGTGCGCGCTAGCTATGGACAGTTACGACTGTTCCAATCTCGTCCATAAAATGTTGGCCTCACATAAATCCTATGAGACCCTTCTCGTCTAGGTTGGACGGTCATGCAGTCGAGACTGTCCACAACATTCAAAGCATGGGACCTATTTTTCCTATACCCTTACCAAATATTGTCAATTCCCCGTCCTGAAAAACTGGAACCTGACCAAAGGGCTAGAAGCAAGAATAGGAGAACAAATAAGTCAGTACACAGACAACATCCAAAATTTTCATGCTTTTTAGCTTTAGACATTTTGCAAAATAAAAAAATAAAATAAAATAAAATTTTGAAGCAAAACTAAGTTTGTCTAATATCGAATGAATTCTTAAAGTTTGATATCTGGATTCAAATATAGGAAGAAGCAAGCCTAAGGTCAAAGGGTTACGCTTAAAGAAAGGAAGCCTTCCTCTTTGTTCTGCTCGGTCTTGAGATCGATGGGTATGAACTCAATCTCAAGCTCGTGCTCAAATAGGGAAGCCAGGGCTCGCATTGTGGCCAGAGAACCAATTGATCCATAGAGTTTACAAACAGCCATGCCTGCCTGTTTTAGAGAGAGAGAAAGAGAGAGGAACTGAGGAAGCTAACTAGTTATTATGAAAAATAATTCTGGTTTGAGAGAGAGAGTGAGTCAAGTGAGGAAGCTAACTAGTACTTATTATGAGAAAAAATTCTGGTTTGAGGTAGATTTGCGTAAGTTATTGACTGCCCAGTCCACCTAACAAGTTGAATGGCTGATACTTACAGCTGTATATCCTGAATTGTTTTGAGTCACCTACCAGTTCTCTGCAGTTATGGAATATTCGTCATGTCTTTTAAAAGGCTGATATAAAAGCAGCTTCCATTTTTGAGGTTCATAATTTTATAAAATATAAGCACAAATATGTAGGGACAGGATTTATTTTCTCCTCTTCATATAGGATTTATTTCCATTTTTGAGGTTCATAATTTATACTTCTCTATCATAATAGTTTATCTTTGACATGTCTCATCATACTTTTTAGCATGCCTTACTTGTTGAAGTATTTAGATGGATAAGACTTTCCTGAATGAACGGCTGTGATTGAGTGAAAGATGAATAGAATATTTCATTATGCGATTATGGCTTCTTCTTTTTTTTTTTTTTAAATAAAATAAAATAAAATTTCAGTTTGTCAACTCTCCTTGAGCCCATTGATTTTAAAAGATAGACAAAATAATAGCAGAAGGAAATCTGATAATGAAGTCTAGTCTGATTGCTAGTTCAGTATATGATGATGAATTAATTTTGTTTCCCATGTTGAAATAAGTGAAGCAGAAAAATGAATTGGACCATTGAATAATTTGAATTCTAGACAGCCTGGCCTCAAGCTTTGTAAACTCAATTGAATGACATTCACTTGGAACACTAAAGGTATGATCGGTAAATGTTTGTTCATGGCTTGAAGGTAAGATGCATATACTTAATCTGGAACAATTTATCATCCGTACATAATATGAACTTTCACAACATTTATTAAGAAATAGGCTAGCATAAACTTAATCAGGTTTCACCAAATTTAGAACAACAAAATCTTTAGAACACAATGACAACTATCCCTGCATAATTGTCAAGTTATTCTAGTACAGAGAGAGAGACATAGAAACCTTGGCAGTAGTACAAGTAGTACTATGATGATGATTCATAGCGAAGACTGAAAAGTGATTGCTGCTGATAATCTCCTAGTAACTAGGCCTACTACAAATATCATCCCACCATGCCTTCAGATGTGGACGATCGTCCAGTAAGGAGCCAGCCGAAGTATAGGTCAGTTTATCTATTGGATTAATATGGAGCAAATCGGCCAAGCTAAAGAAATCTCCAGCAAGGTACTTGGTTTTCGATAGCTGAATCTCATATGCATCATACACCTTTTCCAGCTTCTTCACGTTTTCATCGACGACTGCTTGATTTAGTTCAGTCCCATAGTCCCAGTTTGATGTTTGCTCCAAAATGATGGGATTGGCTGCGGGCTCGAAATGGTTGGCTCCCACATCCACCCATACCCTAACCATTGCAGCTTCCTCAACAGTATTCCCTAACAGAGGAGTGCCCTTATCCCTGTACTTTTCAGCTATATATGCCGCGATTGCTCTAGATTCTATCATGAACAACAAACAATATATAGTATAATTAATTTACTTTTAGTTTCACCATTATCAGATTGTGGGTGTGATTGGATTGTATATACATCCATACACGTGTGTGTGTGTGTGTGTGTGTGTGTGTGTACACATCATACATGTATGTTTGTTTGTGAGCTTTTGAAGATAGCACACCAGTACATCTGAGTCAGCTTTTAGTATGTGATAGGTAGCTTTGTGAACCTATCCCTGATTTTGGGCACCTATTTTATTCACTAGTTTTGCATTTCACAGATTCTAGGTTAGGAACTTAGGATTAATTTCAACTTCCAAAATAATAAAAAAATAAAACGTAGGATTAATTTCTTAAAAATAAGTTATTTTTAGATGAGGAAATAAAAATAGAGGGAGCCAAAGCTTACCGAAAAGAACGAGATCACCGTCTTGAAATATTGGGATCTGGCCGAAGGGCTGCATAGAGGTAATTAAAATATGTTAAGGTGAAAAATATAAACCAAATATATATATATATATATATATGAAAATTTAAAAGAAGATGACAAATATAATATATGGTGCATTTACATTCATGTCACTATAAGGAGGCTTTTTGTGTTCATTGGATAAGTAATCCACAGTCACCATCTCGTATTCTACCTCTTTTTCTGTGAGTAATACCATAAGATTCATAGTACATGGTGAACATGAATTTCCATATAGCGTTATCCCCATTGTGTGCGTGTGTGTGTGAGAGAGAGAGAGTGAGACAGAGACAGAGAGAGAGAGAGGATGTATGTTGTTCTTTTTTGAAAATACCTTATAAAAATACTAGGGCATTGGCGCAGATCTGGTGTTGACAATTTAGAATTGAATTTTGGCCTCATGTTCAGTTTTTCCTTTGCGGTCACTTTGCCAAGTGGATTGTTGAAATTTTCATCCTACACTCGAAATTCGCACGATTTTAAGAAATTATCTCATCTGATCGTCAAGCAAACTTCTTGTGATCCGATCATTAATGAACTTTGCATGACCCTTCTTAGTATATTGGACATCAGCAGTAATTATCACACCTTTGACCAGGTATAGAAAATTCTCTTTATATAGTATATAGGAACTATAAAGTTTGGAAATGGTGATTGATAACAACTTTATAGATACTGAGTATGATTGATGCACAATCGGGTACGTGCTTGCACGTGTTATGTCATGTAGGGAATAAACATCTAAAATAATGAATATGCTTGAGAATAAATTTTTTATTTAAAAATGTATTTCATAATAGTAAAACATATCAAATTCATAAGAAAACCACATTCTTTTTTCTTTTTCTTTTTTTTTTTTTTTTGTGTGTGTGTGTGTTTGGTCAATGTATTATTTTAATTTGTCAGGTGGGTGTAAAATTTCAATTTACTAAAAAAGAAAGGAAGAAAAAAACTAGCATTAATTAATAATTAACTTTTTTTCTCCATATCTTATGTAAATTTTATTAACTAGAATACCACTATACCCTTCTTCCTTTTTTCCGAATGGTAGTGCACCCTTTTTTCACCATATGGAGATTTTTGGTGGCACAAATTAAATTGAAGAACAAATAAATTCTTCTTAAACTCAAACATGCAAATGAGGATAAAAATTAAGCAAACATTCAATATTATTATAATAATTTGACAAATATAAGTTAGAAGCAGAAGATCTAACAATCATTATCAAACCCAGCATCAAACCCAGCATCAAAACCACCACCAGACACCATATCTCCGACCAACAAACCACCAATTACTCCTCCCACCAACGCTCCCAAACCCGACCCAAACTCATTCTTCTTCGGTTGCTGCTGCATTGGTGATTGATACCCATATCCCGGCCCCACTGTAGGATATCCATCTGGTGGTGGTGGGTATCCAGGTGCAAAATACCCATATCCCCCTCCAACAGCAGCAGGTTCAGGGTATCCCGCTGGGGGTGGTGGGTAATATTCCGACACCAAGGGTACAGGTTGGGGGTATCCTGCCGGCGGTGGTAGGTAAGATTCTAACACCACGGATGCAGGTTGAGGGTATCCTGCCGGCGGTGGTGGGTAAGATTCTAACACCACGGATGCAGGTTTAGGGTATCCCGCCGGCGGTGGTGGGTAAGATTCTACCACCACGGATGCAGGTTGAGGGTATCCCGCTGATGGAGGTGGTGGGTAAGATTCTGCCACCGGGGGTGGATATGGTCCTGCCACAAAGGTAGACGGACCATATGCAAGACACCCATACTCTCCTCGAGGTGGATAAGTTGTTGGCACAACCATTGGTGGATATGGCGCCGCCACTACTGGCGGAGGAGGGTAGCTAGAATTAATTCCAATTTTATATGCATGTGCATGAGGGTAGTCAACTTTATATGTTTGACCAAACTTGTAACAGAACTTCAGTTTCCCTTTGGCCTTGCCAGAGTTTTTCCTAACCGGATATGTGACCGATGTGGAGGCTTCACAGTTTCCGGCACTGTCGAGGAGCTCCTTGATCGGCACGTGGACTACTCCAATGTCTTTGTCACCAAGGAGACTCCGGTCACATCGGAGTTGAAACACAAGATTCTGACGGTTTGTTTGAACCACAGCTTCGTCAATGCTGAACTTCATGGTGTGATTCCAGGAGGGACTGGTCCCGCCGCCTTTGTCAACGGGAGTTCTCTGCTCGTGACGAGGATCGCAGTCGATCTTGACAACAACATAGACGTCCATCTCGGAGAAGTGGCTGACATCTTTGAGGCCTTTTGCTGAAATTAATGTTATCTCCAATGATCTGTGCTCCATTGTTATGCTATCTACGAGGGACAATTTACAGTATGTTTTGAATTTATATATACTAGTATAAATCTATAAGAGAAGGAGATGTTGACTCTGATACAGTTGACTTTAGAGGTGAGGTAGGAAACTTCTGTTGAAAAGTCAAACATTAGGAGTTTACTTTTGATGGTATGCCCTTATGTTTATGCATTTCATGTTAGATCAATCAGCACCGCCAGATGGATTGTTTCATAATCAAATATTTTTGCAACTTGCAGTGAGGAGTTGATTAAAAACCTATGGAGACCAGTCAATGGAGATCACTAACTCTCTATATAATATATACAGGCATGGTGGGATGCTCCACTGAAATTTTTTGTTATTGCATTTTACACTTTTAAATTTATACTTTTTCTATATAAATTTGCCCCCCTCGTACACACACATATATACCAAAAACCAATAGAAAAATAAACATTCAACAAAGCAATGCCTCAAGTCAGCTAATGAAGATTTTAACGTTCTAATATGGAAACAGCTAAATTTAATGCAAGTTGCTCATACGTGGATTTCAAATTCCAGAAAGAAGAAATACGTGCACCTTCGTCGTTGTTCTTTCACGCAAGAGGGTTGATAAATATGAAGAATTAATTAATATTACTCTCATGGACAATGTCAAAAGAGCATAATTTTTCTGAAAAGTAATAAATAAATGGTATAGCATGTTTACTTGAGAGTTAATACCATTTGGGCACCGTCAAATAGTGAATGCATTTTAAATGTATTGTTCGCGTGTGCGCTTGATTGATCCCTTCCTTAATTTTTTTTTTTTCACTTTGGTCATTGTAGAATGTATGATTCCTTTCCTTGTCTTCTCCTTTCATCTTACACCTTTTTAAAAATTAAACATGAATTTCCCCAAAAGATAATGATACCTTGTCTCTTCTTTTTCCTTCTTTCTTTCCAGAAGGTAAGTTCATACTTTATCCTTCCACCTGGGTTTGGTTGCCCATTTGTCATGCCATTTCTTGACCTATATAAACAAGATCCATAACGTTCATAAAATGTCAACTTCTGATCAGATTTTCCTAACAAGCTTTATCATATACTAGCATAAACATGGGTTCACTATCCGCAGGTCTCTCTCTCTCTCTCTATATATATATATATATAATATGTATACATATTAAATCCACGTATACCTATTTATTATGTACACATGGATTTACGTATAATATGTTCTTGAAGCCCAAGTGGCTAACAACAAACACATTTTAATAGTTAACAAGCACGCACATTTAAAAACAATTTTTTAAAAAATAAAAGTGCTTTTAAACGATTCAACACCACCAATTCCAGACAGACCACTTTATTTGTATAGATTAATTTTAAGATTTAACAACCTCACAGCTGCATTTGTTAATTGGGTGGTCCTCCATCTCTGTTTTACGACGGTTTCAGGAAGAGATGCTCCACCTACTCACTACTCATTCAAAATTCAGTCCTTCTCATCACTTTCAAAAGCTTCAATAGAGAAATACACTTCAGACAAGTTTGAAGCAGGGGACTACAAATGGTATGTTTAATTATGACACTTTACATCATCTCAAAATGGACATATTACATATATAGTCCAATTATTCAATTCTGCACAAAAACCAAATACCCCGTGTCTAGATATGATAATTTTGTCAATTTCATCTTAAAATCACCCTAACAACATTGTTGCGGGCAGGAAATTGTCCATATATCCAAATGGAAACAAGAAGAGAAATGGGGAAGGACATATTTCCATCACTCTGGCTTTGGTGGACACAAGTTCTCTACCTGCCGGTTGGGAGGTCAAGGTCATCTTCAATTTCTTCATACATGATCAATTCCATGACAAATATGTTAGCTTAACAGGTAGATATATATATATATATTTCATTTAATAGCACTAAATGGATACATCTTTAATAGTTTGAGACTTCATGGCAATTCATGTTCTAACAAAACCTAAACTTTGATTTGGGAGGTCTTTAACCCGTTAGCATCTCTTTCCACAATTCATTTTGTAGCAATAATGTTCTACAGTAAATAACATGGTACCTAATCCTTCAAGTATTCTGGGATATTTCACATTTAAGTATCCAAGCTTACATCTATTCTCTCCTATTCCTCTCTATGTTTGAATTCTTCTCTCAATTCAATCAACTATGTCTACATTTCAATACTTAAAATCATTTACACTATCTTAAGATGCAGTTGGAGAATTGAAGCGTTTCCATGCAATGAAAACCGAATGGGGCATATACAAATTTTTGAAACTTGAAAATTTTACCGATCCTTCAAATGGATACCTCGTCAATGACAGTTGCGCATTTGGGGTAGAGGTTTTTGTTCTGAAACAAACACGGAAAGAGGAGTGCTTGTCAGTGATGGAAGCACCCGTGACCTATACTCATACCTGGAAGATGAAATCTTTTTCAAGTTTAGCAATGGAACGCTATGAGTCTCAAGACTTTGTTGTCGGAGATCATAAATGGTACAAGTATACGAATTCATACATACATATATGTATTTCTTAAGTTTCTACTTGTATATTCATCAGGAGTAGGACACTTTTTCATGCAATATATACAATTTAGGTTTACAAGTTTAACAATGACGTTGCAGGAGGATTCGGCTCTACCCACGGGGAAATGGTGAAGGGAAAGGCAATAGTATTTCAGTATTTCTAACTTTGGATAATTCAACTCTTCCTCCCGATACCAAACTATTTGTTAGATTCAATCTGCGCACAGTGAACCAAATGAATGGGGAACACTTCGAACTTAAAGGTAAGAGATATGCCAATAATTTTTCGTAATGATCTAACCCTTGAAAATAATTAAGTCAATTTAGCCTAGACACAACTATCTAATTATTGACTACTTTATAATTCTATTTCCACATTCAACCCAAAAGTCACAATATCAGTTAATATACACTATTAATTCTTTACCATCTCAAATCCAGTTAATTTCAATATTCCATTTTGCCCATCACTGCCTTCAACATAAACCATGTCACCATTCCCAGTTTTAATAACTCGATATTTACTATTTAGTACTGGACCTAGTTATTGTTATTGTGGTTAGAACAACCTAAAAGAATACAAAAATAAAGAGGAAAAAAGAAAAAGAAAAAGTAGTAGTAGTTTTTAGAAAATATAGAGTACATTTTTAACATATACCATTGCTGCTTCTATTGCAGATGATAATCACTTTAGCGCTTCATGGTTGGTTTGGGGTTCTCGAAAGTACATGTCATTGGCTAAACTAAATGACCCAAAACATGGTTTCTTGGTCGACGACACTTGCATCATTGAAGCACAGGTTACTCTACTTGGAATAGTGAGCCCATTATCTTAAATTAAAATGTTTCCTTTGTTGAATCACAGTATCTACAGATTATATAATAACGAAACATATGAATTATGAGATCTCTCATTTTCAAAAAAGACAATTTGAAATTTATGACTATTCATTAAATGTATATATGCCACAGCATTACAGCCATGCATCATGCTGATTTAAAAAATAATAAGAATGAAACAAACCAACAACAACAACAACAACAGGAACAGCAACGCTAACATTTTACCTTGAATTGACCTCTCCACAATTCAGGCCAAATTTATTGAGTTCAAATCTGGGAGAAATATGTGGATAAAATGATGGTCTCATCTTTCCCCATCACCCTTGCCTCTTTCCTGTATGGAAGATCCACATGCACACCGTTTAATATTTATTATTATTATTCAGCAGCACTAAAAACATCAGAACTTACTAATAAGCACACTTTGATAGAGATATTAAACCCACTTGAAACTGCAGTAGATATCTAAGACACTATTTCTCCATTTTATTTTTTATTTTTTTGATGAATAATTTCTCCATATTCTTCCTTTTAACAGAAACTTATTTTTCCAAAATAAGATACGGATAAATAAAGTTAAAAGGATACCATTGTACTGTTCATACCATGGTGGGTGAATACGAACCAAATTCCCAACTTCAAGCTCAACATCACCGCATGCTTTTGAGCTAAAAATGATTGTCAAAGTTCTTTCCCCATTTTCCTTTGTTATTAGGGGTCTTCCTGCCCAATGAGAGCTCTGCATAAGCAAGCAGGCATATCTTATCATCCTTCAACCACAATCATAGGTAGAGATGCATATAATCTGTTTCATGCAAATGGTAATTTCAAATCAATATCATCCACAGTTATGCCATGTCTATAATTCCCCGTGTGCGCATGCGTGTGTGTGTGAGAAAGAGAGAGAGAAAGAGAGATAGAGAGGGATGTTTACAATTTTGACTTCAATTAACCTCCAACCACACTTCTGCAGCCCTCAATTGTGTTCCCATGACAATACAAAATATTAAACCGTACCACAAATAACAAAAACTTTTCCAAAAGAACAAGTCATAACTTTAAATGCATTTTCAATTATTGAAGTTGCAACTATTTTCAAAAGCCAGTCAGAAGTTTGCAGAATACCATACGTTTCTCCTACCAGTAATGCTACAAATGTAATTGATGGCTGCAAGAGTTAGTTTATGTCCATATTTATTGAAATTTTGCTGTGTCAAATATATGCAACCTTTTTGTCTATGCTGAGAGAACAACAACAGACAGTCAGCTTTGCTTCCAAACTCCTTGACAAAATTTTCACATCAATACAGCTTGCTTCATCTGAAAATGAGAGGTCTAAATAAGAATCAAACCCAAGCAATAGATGCAAACAAATGTGTAGAAAGTGGTTAGTCAACCTATTTTCAATTTCCCTGCACAAATTTGTCTATATATGTTGATTGCATCTATACATGATTGATGATTCCAAGTACACTTCGAACAAAAATAAAAGGGAAACATGCTAAGGCGCACCATTTGCAAAAGCTCCTGTCTGTAACCTCTTTAAGAAATCCATATCTCTTTCCTTTTCACTATGCATTACCCGCTGCAACTTGCCAAATAATCCAACACTGCAAAATTTAGAGCAAAAATGGTTTATTTGAATTTAGAGCAAAAATGGTTTATAATTTATTTGAATTTTCTTTTGTAACAGCTTATGTATAATATTAACTGGCAACCTCTATTCCAATCACTCACCCCAATTGCCTAGGCAATGCAAAGAGGGGACCCTCACCATGCATAGAAGCAGCACCTAAAGCTTCATGAAATTGTTCAGCAATAGTCTTCCGAATCGATTCAGGGATAATAAGATTTAGATTTTGAACATTAGCCTGGATAGGAGTTTAACAGCTGAATAAGTGAAATAATTATAACCAGGAAAAAAAGAAAAAGAAATAATTATAACCAATACGATAAATGAAGTTAATACGACACAGTTAAAGAACCATAACACCAAAGAGATACCTCTTCATCACTTGATGTTCCACTATCTAGAGTCTCAGGGGGGTTATTATCGTCCATGTTTCCTGAATCCAACAGGGGTATACTTCTCTTAACAAGCTGAACCATTTTTCCTCTTGTTTTAGTATTCTGGAGCGATTAACAAATCAAATTTGGTGTCGAATAAAATGAAGGCAACAACGATGGCAATGAGTTAATTGAGGTAGAAATCTAACCATTTTAAAATTTCGCTGCACCAAATCATTACTTTCCTGATAGCCATCCAGAAGCTCAGCCATTGAATGCTCTGCATAATTATGACCAACTGCCAGTTCAGTTGGTGCTGCATAAATCTTCAACTGTTCCATCTTTTTTCCCTGAAAAGTTCCCACACGATCAGCAACGGAATGTTCCATTGTTATGTGATCAATATTTTCTAGAAGCTTGTGTGGCATGTCATTCCCATCCTTGCTATCAACAGGCCAAGAATCTCCCTTGTGTGACTGGAAACGAAATGAAAATTTTGGCTTGGCTTTCCCTCGGCCCGCTGCATCATCAAGTTCCAAAGCATTAAGAAACAACTAGTTCAAAGAAATTTTGGAAGGGATATGGAGCAGCAACACATCTTTCATTTTCTTGAGTTGATGTAGACCATAAAAATTCAAGAAAAAAGAAATTTTAATATGACAAAAAATATGAAAATTGGTTGCTAATTTTTAAGTCAAAAAATTTTAAAAATTAAAACTAGTAAATAATTTTAAGTCAAAGTTCTTAAAGTAGGAAAACTCTAACAGCCTATATTTTTATGTGTCTTTTCAATATATTCATAGAGATTACTTCAAACAAATTTATAGAGTTTTGAAGCTTTCTGAATTTGTATATGGAATTCTAAACTACGAGAAATGACTGGAATCTAGGTGTAGATTTACTTTTTTTACTTCTTCTTTTCTATATTTTCTGCACATTTGTTAGTCAATGAAAGCCATGATATTTAGGTTTTTGCAAGTCTAATCCATTTCTCTCTGAACCATTCGATTTTGACCATAGCAAGCTAAATAACATCGAACCGCAAAATCACTGTTCACAGCACCCAGATTAGGTCCCAAATTTTCTCTTTCCTTGCCTGATTTAAATAAAAAATAATCGCCTTTTTAGGCTTTTACCTGCACCTCTTACAAATCCCTAAACGGCTAAACCCAATCTTTCCACCAACCTTCAGCCACCGAAAGAAATGACAAACAGCTCCCCGGAAAACCCCATCACCGCTGCCCAAATCATAACTTGTAGGAGAGTGTTGCTACACACTTGTACTGCAGCCATTGACAAAGAGTTTTCCAGCCAACACGAATCATTGCCACCATGATAGTCGAGCAATGAAAATATTTTCTCAATGATACTTAACTCACTACACCATCTAATGTTACTTTACCTATATGTAGTTTAGTTTGAATGAATTGTGCCGAGATCTGCAATGTTTCAGGAAATAAAGATTCATTAAATTCACAAGGCTTGAAGCATACATTAACAACTTAAAAATATAACATCCAAAATTTCAATAACTGCACTGAGCAGGAGCTATTAATCCATAGAAACGTAGAGGCAACAAGATGGTTGGCACAGATTGATCAAATACACAAATTTAAAGGTAATTTAACGTGAATATACTTAACAAAGTTTGCTTTGCTCATGGTTCAAGGCAAACTAAAAGCCCCATTGGATAATATGCATATAAATGCGGAAATTGCATCCAGCGATTTGACTTTTGAGTATCCTTAAAAGCAACAAAGAATACCTTTAGAAAACCAGTTCGTTTTGGAAGAGAAAGCCTGGGATGAGGAACACCCAGCATTCTCATTTAAATGAACCAGAGCCTTGGCTTCTTTAGCTACTGTTGACCATGTGCATACCTCATTTTGACTTTCGTTCCCAAAGCTCTGAGGATTGACTTTCTGGAAATCTTTAGCCCCAGAAGTACTGGGTAATGTTGAAAGCACGGCATTTTTCTTTACCTCAAAAACCATAGCCAGTGTCAAATGTTTTTGAATAAGGAAATGAAACTGTGCAAAAGTCAGGAGATGAAAGCAACATGAGCAGCACTATTAATATGTCACTCTAATATCTTATTATCTCCATTGCAATTAGCTATGTTTCAACTTCCAACCTTATTGTGTAACTCCTCATCAAAAAAAATTTCTCCATCCAACTTGCATGTAGATGCCCTCCTTGGAGAACGAACTAAGTCACCCTCATTGTGGAAGAAAGGAAGTTCAACCTCGTCTTCAATAAAGAAGCCTGTTTTCCCATGACCACAAGTATCTGCACTAGAGAAGTAGAGATACACTTCTTGAAGATCCAATATCACGATTAATGCGTTGGAAAAGAGCTAAGAGTGCTTGCATCCATAATAGTATGTAATTAGTTTACTGTATTGCTTGTAGAATATATCTCATAGGAAAAGGGGAAAAAAAAAAAAAAAAGGCCACCCACGAAGATATAGTCAACCATATTAAGAGCATACCTCTGAGTATCTCAAGCTGTGATTGAATTTGTAGTCCTCCCTAACAAAAATATAAACACAATAAGAAGAGATCCAAGATGATTTAATCAAAATCATTAATTAGACATGGCAATGGCATTCTATAATAACAGCAATGCATATTTGGATTTCAATAAACATCATTAACGAAAATAGCCTTCTTTACAATCAAAGAGAAAACTCAAGGTCCATCATCAAGTGATTTGTGATTGTGTACTAAATAATTTAATCCAAGACTTATCACAACATACACTTTGTGTTAAGTACAAGAAAAGAACCAAACTCTCTACTACTTAATGTTGTGTTTGGTAGGAAGGAAGGAAGATGTGTGGATAGAAAATAGGAAGGAAGGAACAAACTTATTTTGTTCCTTAAAGGAAAGAAAGGAGAATACGCTTCCTCCTTTACAAATTTTCATCTCCCCAAAAATGGGCGGAAGAAAGGAGGGAAGACAAGTGGACTACTATAGAAGTTTTAAATTAAATAATATCCTAAATTATACAAGTTTTAAATTATAGTACTATCCTCTATAAATTACAATATTATAAATACTATTGGATATAATGGTAAAAACAATTTAAAATTTCTCTTTCCTTCTGACAATTATAAGTTTATTCTCTTCTCTTCTATCCAACCGAATAAAAAGAAGTAAATACACAAAGGATAAAGAAATAAGATGATTTTCAACATGTAATAATTAAAATAAAATTTTTCTGGATTGATTTCTAAAATTCAAAATATATGTGTATGTTAAACTAATAGATTCTACGACATTGTAGAAGAAATAGTAATAACTTTTGTAAGATTTTAACATGGCTGGAAACCTTTTTGGTACGTGATTAATACTGACCTTTTCTGCAGGTCCACCTAAGGAAATACAATTTCCCGGCCAATCAGGAGAGCAATCTTCCTCTTCTGATAGATCAAAATACAAAAACATAAATATGAATACTACTAACAATATTCAACTTTTGAATTCCACTACTTGAAGGAGATTCAAACTCAATATCTTATTTGAATTTTCAAAATAATTAACCAATCTAAGATTCATTCTAAATGTTAGCAATGTGGGAAAAAAGTACATATATATTTCTAGAATTCAAATTATGACATGTAACATTACCAGATATGCTTTGATCAGAATCCTGATTCTCCTGCAAATAAATTTCATATAAATTCAACCATGAGAGATATATAATTTGGGAATAATCAAATTTTAAAATCAGTTTGTTTGCTGAGAAACTGTAGGGAAAAAGAAATAATTAAATTCTTGAATGGGACAAGATGGAGGGTAAAGGCGGAATCAAGAACAGCTCTCGAGATTTTGATCGCTACTATACCGCGAAATTGTTCTTCTGCCACATTTGGAAATCTGACACGATAATTTCTCAGGCACAGAGCCCTCTTGCTTTTCGCCTTAAACCCTTCACTGTCTTGAGAAGAAAAAGAAAATCAGAGATTTTCTAGAATTGGGCTGGACCTAGATGTGCGTTGGGCCTGTATTTTAATTAAGTATTTAAAATTGGGACACAAAAAGATGGTCCGTTGGATGGAGATTGGCTCATCAGGTATCGCTCCTCTGTGAAACCAGCCTCACGAAACCTAAGCTTCGCCCCAGACCCGTGGCCCAACTCCTTACTTGGACCCAACCAAGCCCAACCCTCTGATCCAACCGTTGCCAGGCCCGGCTGTCCTGGCAACCTTATACTCTAGTATATATTATATAAACAAAAATGCTCTGGGCCATTCGGGCCAAATGTCATACAGTAACTCCCATGATATAAGGCGCCGACTAACGTGTAGTAAACCCTAACCCTAGTTACCTTGGTATCTCTATCTATATATATATCAGGATCTCACTAGTTTTTCCAAGCCTCCCAACCGACGAAGAAGCTCATGGCACATCTCTGTTGACTGTGATTTTCTCTCTAGTTTTATATATATTTTTTTTCTTTTAATCTTTTTTATATATATTTGGAATTGATTAGCGAGGCCGATAGGTTTTTTTTTTTTAGTGTATTTGGAATTCAAAAGCGAGGCTGTGATGTTGAGAACTACCTATTTTCTGAGAGAAAATTCCTCGTGATTATAAAACACCAATGGATCCTTCTGAGCCTCTTCTCTCGTTCTTCTATATTTATATTTTATTTTATTGATATATTTTAAAAGTTTTTTTTTTTTTAGTTTAATTCTATCTGGAATAACTTTTGGAGCCATCGATGTGAGGATAAACGATTCGGAAAATATGATGTCGATCAGGAAAATATTTCCAGACTACAATTATCTGATCGATGGCTTTTGTGTTATTTTTGTTTTTGTTTTTCTTTTGTCTAATTTATTTGATTCATTAATTAGAAAGAACAAGAACACAATCTCTAGCTTGATCCCTGAGAACAGGGCAATCGATAAGGTTTTTTTTGTTTGGTTGTCGCTGCTTTTATTTCACGGTGAAACTCTGGGATCTGAAAGCATTCAGATCTGATTGATGTTGTGGTTTACCCCCAAAATATCTTTCTGTGGAAAGTGGAAACAGAGATATGAGCATTATGATCATCATCAGCAACATACCACTGTATGGCAACAAAACACGCCCGCCATTCTCTGAAATTCAATAACTGTTAAAACTACGTTCCAAATTGATTGGAGAAGTACATATTCTTACACTTGCCTTATTGAAAAACTTAATTGTGAACTTTTATTATTTTAGCGCAATATGGTCGGTCGACCGACCAAACTGGAATAACATATGCTCACTCTCTCTTCACTGATAAAGTGCGTTTGGGCTATTCGTATATGTGTAATCGTAGATTTTGGGCTAACTCAACCCTCAATTCTTTCTCCCTCCCTCTACCATAAGTAGCTGGGTATAATATTGTAAATCTGGTTTTTTTTAAAGATTTTTTTATTATAGTATTTTTTTTTATGATGTTTTTTTATGATATATTTTTTTATGATGTGTTTTTATGATTTTTTTTTTTTTGGGATAATTTCAAAAAAAAATGCTATTTTAGTGGTCACATGTCAAAAAAATTTACTATTCTAGTGTTGTGAAATTATACTAATACCCCTTATTAACTTTACTAATTGTCATTACATATTACATGAAAAAAAAAACCTTAGAAAGAGGACCAAATGAACATAAATAGGAAGAATAAAAAAAAGGCAATAAATTAGTGATACAAGCTATAATGAAATCATCAAATAATCCGCACGTAGACACACAATAGTAATGAGTTTTCATAATAAAATAGGATTACTACATTTTCAAACAAGCAATTAGGCATCCGCAGAATTCTAATTAGATAAATGGCGTGCCTGATGAATAGTTGTTCCCCTACCAAATTCATACTTCTAGTCAATTTTTTACTTAAAAAATATATATATATATACTTCTCTCAATTTCTCATTGATATTTCAACCCTTTTTTAGTATATAGTTGCAGTTACCTTTTTTTTGTCTTATAATATTGTCATACTTTTACCTATTGTTCTTATATATTTGTGATGTGTAGAACTTTTCTCCAAAGAATCCTCCTAGGCTCGAGAATCATTTGTAGATGATTCTCCCAATCTAAGTAATAGGACAGTAGTGAAATTTCTGCACTCAAGCAAATGTTAGAGCAGAAGACATGTATCAAGTACGAGGGTGACATATAAGTTTTGAATTTAACCTAGAGGAGATGGATAACACCGAAGTGACCTGCTCGTTGGTAGTAGATTTTTCTCTTCTACGGCTGTGGTTGTGTCTGTGTCAATGGCGAGGCAGAGGCAATAACAAGAAGCCCTTACATCTATAGTAAATTTTCATGTCCATGTCAGCATTTTTTTGAATAATTTTTTATTATGATATAATATTATTTTATGAAGAGTGAATAAAACTACATGTATCAGGAAATACATGTGCCAGAAATGATTTGTGAATTGATGGGCAGAGAGAGGCGAATAATTCGTGTTAACGGGTCTAACACAACACGAGTAATCCGTTTAATAAATGGGTCAAAATTTAACACGAAATAATATTTATTTGATACATTTAGTTAACGAGTGAACCGTGTCAAAACGATTACGACATTAGCCCAAATTTACAATTACACATACACGATTAGCCCAAACCCACTTATCTGGAAAAGAGAGTGAGTATATGTTATTCCAGAATTGAGGGTTGATTGTCATTTTATGATGTTTATGTTTTTTATGATATTTATGTTTTTTTTTATGTTTATGTTCTCTTTCCTTAATCTTTTTTAAACATCATTAAAAAAACATCATAGAAAAAACCAAAAAAAAAAAAAAAACATTATTAAAAAAAATCATTAAAAAAACTTAACCAAAAAAAAAAAAAAATCATTAAAAAAACATAACCATCATTTAAAATAAAATAAAATAAAATAAAAATCATTAAAAAAACCATAAAAATCATAAAATAAAAAAAATAAAAAAAACATCATAAAAAAACATAAACATCGTAAATAAATAAAACATTATAAAGAAACATCATTAAAAAAAAATTTAAAAATATGGGATAATTCAAAAAAATATGGAGTTTTGTAGGTAAAAGACCAAAAAGATGGAGTCAAACTTGAGTTTTCCAAATAAATGGAGTTTTATGAAAGGCTGACGTGGACATAAAAATTTATTACGAAATGACCCAACTACCCTTTCTCTCTCTCTAAAACCCTCAATCTCACTTCTTTTCTCCCTCTCCTATACTCCAAAAAAAGTGACATCTTACATACATATACACATAACTAATTATCCCTTGTATTCTATATCCCAGTGATTGAGATTCGTAAATATAAACCTCAGGTCAAACTTGATTCCCATTCTTTATTACCCATAAGCCGACCTAAAAAAATTCCGTTTAATTACTATTCAGTCCTCATTCTTCATTATCTCTTCTTTCTCCAAGCTCTATTTTTTCATGGCAAAGAAACACAAACGAACAAGAACTTAAAAAAGCCCCTCTCTCTATCTCTATCTGAATCATAAGATCTGGACTTTGTGGCTTATACTACAAGATTGGGTCTTCAATTGCTTAAAAATCAAGCAATTTCCGTGAAAAAAAGTTCCTCGTATTTTCCAAAAAAAAAAAAAAAAAAACGACGAATGTACGTTGATTCTCGAGCATTAGCTATCGACTAGACTGCAATATTTTCATCTGATTCGAAGCCAAAGGAAGAACAGATTGACAAGAGTAGACTCTTCTTGATGAACTCGAATATGAACCACCATGACGAGTATACACAATACTAGAATAATCAGCAAATGAATTATGGGTTATTGAGGTTTCTCTCTGTTCCAAGCTATTTGCTCTCGAGCTTTGCCAATGGCCAATGGCCAATGGCGTTGAGAAAGGGGGCGATTCGTGTGAAGAGAGAGAAAGGATTGTTGGGTTATTTCGAAACAAATTTCCATGTCCACGTCAGCCTTTTATAAAACTCCATTTATTTGAAAAACTGAAGTTTGACTCTATCTTTTTGGCATTTTATCTACAAAACTCCATTTTTATGGAATTAACACTTTATTTATTTAATATTTTTAACAAAAATTATACGTCTTGCTGAATTGGGCATGGATTCATTAATATATAATATTATTGAATTGAAACAATTCACCCATGTTCCTTTTCGGATTCAAATCAAATCATCCCATATTCGACTAGTAATTAGTCTATTCGTACCTCTCAATAATAACCGATGTGCTCCCATATTCCTTGGTGGCCAATACTTGTCTTAGGTTCAATACTTGCATTACAAAAAAAATCCCCATACTCCCCTAACAAAAATAAATCTAAAGTAAAAACCAATTATAATATGAATATGAGCCGATGGACAATAATTGTTTGCTAAGAGGGAAGGAAAGAGAATGAAGAAGTAAGGGAATATGTAAGCCGAGCATATCACGTCATTAGAGCAGGTTTTTTCCAAGTATTGGGACCCATTTAACCGAGTATATATATATAGGGTGCGCTAGGCACACCAAGCCTTGAGGCTGTCAAACCAATCCACATGCACTGTTTAAGTTGATTGGTCCTGCATACTCATAAAAAATGCTTTCAACCAACTTTAATGGTGCATTTTAATTGGTTGGGCATACCAATGAATTGGTATGTCACCTTATACCTAGATAAATTATTAGATGGTTTTGATTCATTTGATACTTGGTGGAATAACACTAATGTTGAGATTTCTTTATAATATATTTAAATACTTTTATAGGGCCATTTTCTCAATTCAAGTGTCTGAATTGAAATTATCCATCAAGTGTCAATGGACCAAAACCATTTAATAATTCACTCTATAACGAATTTTCATTGGTCGGACATACCAATGACATGCATGTCCGGCTCACTAAATATCTTCTCCAAGTAAGGAGGGATGAATCATCAATATTACCTACTATCTATTTTAATCAACCAAACGAAAAGTGAAATACACCTTTTATTTGTTAGAGATGCCTCATCCATTCCTCCTATTAATTTATCCTTCCTTTAAACCAAATAGAGCATGAGTTTTAAAATGTACATTAGTGTCATATAAATTTACCCTATTTTATAAGTTAGGAAAATAAGTATATCGTGTTTGTTTATCAAGTAGGAATCTTAGAAGTTGATTGCTTGTTTAATATTAATACCATTGAATATCATGTTAGGGTCAACAAATGTAGATCAAATAAGACTATATACACAAACTCTTGTCTTAGACAACTTGACGACAATCCTTTTCCATTTGTGTTATCCACTCTAATCAAAGGAGGGTACCGATCTCCACTATAGAATTAGGACTACATATTTTTTATTCTTATACAAACCCGTTTGTGATTGTTTCTTTACTACTTAAAAGTGTTTTTACTTTGAAAATTTGCGTTTAGATGTATTTGGTAACCATTAAAAGCGATTTTAATGGTTACCAAATTGTAATACCCCTAATTTTAAAATGATGGTCTCGGTATTTATTTATTTATTTTTATTATATTTTTTTAATTGTTTAATTGATTATTTGACTAATTGTTTATGTGTTTAATTGAATTAAGTGTTACTTGATTAATTGGCTACTTATCTATGTGTTATTTGTATTTTGTCTAGGTGTTATTTGTATTATTTGTTTAATTAGATTGTGCACTTAAATGATGTATTTGATTAATTGTAATTAATTATAAATTAAATGATTAAATGTTTTATTTTATTTTATTTTATTTTATGGTTATGATTAGTGGTAATGGACTAACTAATTGGGTCCCACGGACTACTTGAATAGGAGGTTGGATGAGTATGGATAATTACCCATGCATAGTTA